GTTAGGCTTAGTTGTTAGCCTCTGAATTCATCAGAGTAACATACTAGGTAGTAACTATCTCTCATATTTAACTTAAGTGAGAACACTGCTTTAAACTGATTTTTCTTCATATGTAAATCCAGAAAAGGATACAGTATCATTATTTTAGTATTCATATCAGATAAAGCAAACTATCAATGTAATGTTTACTTATGCAATTCATTTTTTAAAGTACAAGTAGTACATATACTTCAAACATGAAATTTCTTTCTTTTAATTTTTTTAAAAATTTGTTTTGTAGTTGGAGAGGGACAGAATACCTTAATTTTATGTGATGCTGAGGATCAAACCCAGTGCCTCATGCATACTAGGCATGCTACAGCCCCAGCCCATTTCATAATAGTACATATACTTCAGATATAAAATTTTATATTATATTTTTATATATACTTAAGTATATATATTTTGAAATACAATTGTAGCAAAACTTTAAAGATAGAATGTATAAATATTGAGAAAGAACTAATTATTACTGGAGGACTGAGAACTGACATTGTAGTTATAACTCAGGTTATGAAGATTGTGGCCTTAGTATTTAAGACAGTACCTTAAGTAAGTGAAAGAAGCCAGACCCCAGTAAATATTTGAGGTATGCTTATTGAATCCTGCTACTGTATTTCATTGTAAATAAGACTATTTAGTGCTGGCTATTTCTTGATTTTGTCAGAAGCTATAATTTAGAAGTGTTTTTTTTTTCTTTTTTGATTATCTAAATAATTCATTATTATTTCCTGACTTACTGCAATTGTAAGATACATCCTACTTCAGAAAGGTCAAAGTACCATGGGAGGTAAGAGAATAAGGAAGGTTGTTGAATCTTAATGAAATAAGGGTAATAACTTTGTATTTAGATTAAAATTTGTTATTTGTCTAATACTGTTATGATTTGTACATGATTTGTCTCTGTTAAAACTCAATTTGGAAATTTGCCAATGTAACAGTGTTCAGAGTTGGGCCCATTAAGACGGATTAATGTCTTTTTTTGGAAATGTATTAGTTCTCACAAATGTGGATCTTATGAGCTAGTCAACATCTTTGTTCCCTTCCCCTCTGCACATGTCTAACTTCTTGCCCTATCCACAAGCCAAGAAGATTCCCGTACCTTCCCAGCCTCCATAATTTTGAACTAAATAAACCTCTTAAAATAAATTACTCTGACTTCAGGTGTTTTGGTAAAGTAACAGAAAACAAACTTATGACAAACATGTAATTCCTAAAATATTTGCTCATTTTGCTCTTTGGACATGAGTTTCAGAATGATCTTTGAGATCTGTGTAATCCGTGAGCCTGAATTTAGTTGCTCTAGAGGAATTATCTTATTTTGTTTTATGTTGTTTTGAGAGTTATCCATGTCTGTTTTTTTTCTTTCTTTCTTTAAGATTCCATGGCTAGTCCAGGGAAAGATAATTATAGAATGAAAAGTTATAAGAATAAAGCCCTAAATCCTCAAGAGATGCGTAGAAGAAGAGAAGAAGAAGGAATACAGCTTCGAAAACAAAAAAGGGAAGAACAGGTCGGTATTTTTAAATATTTATTTTTGTTTGAGAAAATTTTTACAGAGGTTGAAAAGTTTAATTATTGCTGATTTTTAGGTAACTTTAAGTGGAAACTTAAAAATTGATTATAAGTAAATCCACTTTTTAATTTATTAGATTCCAGGAGTAATATTTGCAAATTTATGAATTAAAATCCCTGTGCAATTTTTAGTCACTTATAGAAAGGATTTTTCATTTTATGGATAAACTTTTCATGTTATCATGTTTCTACCCCACTTTATTTTTACTCTTGACTCATTTAGCTCACTGCCATTTTTCATTTAAAATGTGCTTCCTAGAAAACATTAATTATGTTTATTTACTGCTTTGTGGTTTTCATCTTTTAAGTTAATTATAGTAATCTTCCATATTATTCATTCATTCTGTTCCTCCTATAGTTTCATCAACCTGATCTCTTTAAGTTTCCTTTGTTTATATTTTGCAGATGTGACATAAAGTATAGAAAATCATTTAGAGAGCACTTCTCAGCATTTTTCATTCCAAGATCTACTTAGATTTAGAAATACATACAAATAATAGGAGGGTCTGGCCCTCATATTTACAAATTAAAACTAGTTTTTTAGAAGACTGGTGAAGAAAGTAGAAAAAAAAGTCAGTTGATGATATACTCTGTAATCCAAACAATTTGGAAGACTGAGACTGGAGAATGCAAGTTTGAAAACAGCCTGGACAACTTAGCAAGACCCTGTCTCAAAAAAAGAGAGAAAAAGAGTGGGAATGTAACTTAGTGATAGAGCTCCCTTGTGTTTAACCCCCAATATCACAATCAGTTAATCAATTAATAATATGATCTATGATTT